CCAGGCTGGCCTTGAACTCACGATCCTCCCACCACTTCCTCCTCAGTATATCCCACCAAATGTGTCATTCACAAACCCTCTCCTTTTTGTTATTGTTGTTGTAATTCAAAGAGGGGATCTCTTGCAAGCCAGGCTGTCCTGGCACTCACTATACAGCTGGGTATGAGCCGGAACTCCTGATCCCCCTGCCTCCACCTACTAAGGGCTGAGATTGAGGGCACACTCCACACCCTGGCCAAAGCCCAGAGTGTTGCATGGTTCTGAAAGTCCTGCAGATGGAGCTTTTCTGATGGCTAAGGAGACTCCCACAGTCCCTGTGCTCTGTGGAGGATAGATAGGCTGGGTAGCTTGAAGATAGGCGGTAATAGATAGCTCCCAGTCGCCGAACGTCTTCCCCCATGGCTCCCAATTCTCCCCACCCCTCCTTCACGCGCTGCTCTGGTGTGAGTTGACAAGGCCTCCGTGGGATGTGTCTTACATGTCCAGGTTACAAAGAGACACCCCCTTTAATCCGAAAATTCCTAGCGGTTCTCTGAGTACCCAGAAATCTTAGCTGTGTTTGTTGTTTTGCTATTGTTTCAAGAAAACACCATGACCAAGGCAAGTTACAGAATGAGGGGTGTACTTAAGCTTACGATTCCAGACAGTGAAGGAATTCATAATGGTGAGGGCAGCAGACATGGCAGCTGGAGCTGGTCACTGGAAACTGAGAGCTCACACCTAGAGCTGCAGACACGAAGTAGAGAGAAAAAACTAGCAATGGCACGGATCTTAAAGTATCAAAGCCCACCACCACTGAGGCACTTCCTCCAACAGCTGCACGCCTCCTAAACTGCCCAAACAGAGTGACCAGCTAGGGACCTAGTTCTCAAAGGCCGGAGACTATGAGGGACCACCTTGCTCAAATCCCTGCGCTGGTGTGACTTACTATGGTCAGTGAGGCTGGAAAAGCAAGAGATTTCAAAGCCCTGAGTACCCATCGTAAAGGTATGAACATCCATACTGCTACTCTTAACAACCCCCCATAGTGTGCCATATAGGACTATGTCTGAGGCATACTGTCCCGTCTGCCGCGCAGCCTGTGTCTGAGAACGTGCGGAGGGTGTTGGGGATTGACAACACAGAGACTTGTTCAACGATGTAAAGAAAACTTTAAGCAGGCCCCAAAAAGGTTCAAGAAAACTTCCTAAGAAAAGCTCCCACCAGAGAAGCTTCTGCTCTCTCCTCTACCCTGGCTGGTTCTCTCTCTGACACCAAAAACTGATCTGGGCGTGTCAGAAGAGGCGGTTAGTCTTTGGACAAGGTCGAGGTCAGGGCGGTTTCTGTGGGCAGGCCTTTTCTAGGAACTTATTGCCCCCGGGCATTGTATTGTTTTTAGTAAACATGTTTTTAGTAAACATTGTCTTACAGCTGCCTACTCCCAGGCAGAAGGGGAAGTGGGTCTCTGCTCAAGGTCTGGTGTTCCCACAATTCACCCCTTTTTATTTTTAAATGAGGCACTCCTGGCTTAGGTCAAGTAGGGCCACCCTCCCTTTCCCGTCCTTGGGGGACCTTGAACCCCTGTCTTAGGTGGGAGGGGTCTTCCCCACAGGTTGCCCGTCAACAGAGCGCCCCAACTTTAAATCATCTGTAACCAACCTTCATGGCTATCGGGATTGCCATGGGCTAAGCTAAGCAATACTTGGTTACGGATCTCTTGCCTCTGGAACAAGACACGTTTGAGCTCAGCATAAAGCCAGAATGCCTACCACCACTGCCACCATTTCCAGGACCCCCATTGACATAGCGCCTCTCCATCACCGTACCCATCACCAGATCTGGGCCATAACATTCTACCAGCCTTCATCTGTTACAAGGGTAACATGCACGTGATTTACATTCTGTTACAAGGGTAACCCGCATGTGATTTACATTTACAATTTGATAAAGTTACAATTGTTCCAAGATCTGCTCAGGAAAGCATTTAGAAAGTGCACTTGCACAGATACATTAGGTACAATCATTGATGTTACACATGTAGCATTATGAAAAATATGAACAATAGGCTTGTTGCACTATCCACAGAGCACCAATTTGTTCCTGTGGTGATGCAGTTTGTTGATTTAACGTCAGCTGATTATGTGACTTGAGTCAAAGTCTCCTTTTTGTTGCATTAGGACAAGTTGCATCTCTCTAGAAAAATACACTGGCCTAGTCGTGATTCCAGAAACAGGAACCATCAAGTCTGATATTTCAAGTGACCATGTCCTGTTCAATTACTGAAAAGAGGCTTTTGCCCCTCATCACAGTCCATACCAATGTCCAAATGTTTTAAATGGGTCCTTTTTTCTCTATTGGCTTCACGATGAAAACTCATGGATCCGGAAGGTTGATGCAGCAGGTCTGTTGAGAAACTGGAAATCTCGAACCGACTGTTTTCTTTCTTTCTTGGGCTCTAGATTCGATGACAGCAAGGGTCAGGAACACTGATTTAGGAGATCTCACTCAAACTGGCTTAGGTAGGCTCCCATGGTCTCAGGTCCAGTTTTTCTCTGCTCCATGCCGAAGCTTTTATTCTTTTCCTACAAGAAAACACAAACATGCCCTCGACCCCAAATTAGGGTCTTCTCCACTGTCTAGTGCATGGATGTCTCCATTTGACCTGAGCAATGGTTGCTCAAGTTCCATCATGTCAGAATCTGTCTGAAGCTCACTGGCATTCACATTATAAAATTTTTAAATGAGGAGTGTATTATTTGATGAGTCATATGGGGACTGGGGACATTATTCCCCCTTTTTTATTTTCTAAAAAAAAATTTTTTGCCAGCACTCGGGAGGCAAAGGCAGGCGGATCTCTGTGAGTTCGAGACCAGCCTGGACTACCAAGTGAGTTCCAGGACAGCCTCCAAAGCCACAGAGAAACCCTGTCTCGAAAAACCAAAAAAAAATTTTTTTTTGAACTGTTGAAGCTGGACCATAATAGTAGAAGGATTTGTCTACCCTCCTTGGTTGACTATCTAGGTAAATTGGGGTTACTACTTAGATTATTTGTAGATGCCCATTAAAAAGGACATATCCATTAAATATTTCCCAAAAACTTCTGAAAATCACTCAAAGATTGTAAACTATACTGTGTCCAAATAACTTTTGAAAATTATTTGAAGTCTGTGAGCAGTCTTTCCCAATGTAACCTGTAGAGCTCTCACTAGCTGACAAGGCCTCATTTGCATCTTAAATTTTTCTGTTAAAACATTAACAGAATGGCTGGATGTTCCTTTTGTCTATATTTAAAGCAATCTAGGTATCTTTTTAACTATTTTTGAAGGGATTTAAGTATCCTTTTAATCATATAAGCAGTTCACACTCACGCATTCACAATCACATTTCATACATACCGGTGTGGCCACACCATATATTCAGAACATACATGCATCTTTCAGTCATCCTTTTTCCCTAGGTCATGATTAGTCTGTTGCAATGAAGCTTCCTTAATTGAAATCTATGTAAAAGAACAACTCCAGCCAATCCTTGAACTAAGAGGTTAAAAAGTCCTGTATGTTCTTTATCATTCCTCCATTTGAGCTACAGTCATGGGGTACAGCCGTACCTACTCCTTGTAACTGTAGATGCAAGATGGAGAGGCCAAGCTTTTGGCCAAAAGTTTTTAGAGATGACTCACAAGATAGAACTTAAATGTAAACAAAAATTTCCATTCTATATACCTTTGTCTTTTTCTTTTTCTTTACTTAATACCAGTACCTCTTTACTGTTACAATTTTTTTTCACTCATTTTTTTTTAAGTCAGGGTTTCTCTGTATTGTTTGAGGCTGTCAGTCCAGCCTGGCCTCAAACTCACAGAGATACGCCTGCCTCTGCCTCCCAAGTGCTGGGATTAAAGGCGTGTGCCACCACCGCCTAGCTTGTTACCAATTTTTTTTTCTCTGTATTATTTGGAGGCTGTCTTGGAACTTGCTCTGTAAACCAGGCTGGCCTTGAACTCAAGAGATCTGCCTGCCTGTGTCTCCCGAGTACTGGGATTAAAGGCGTGTGCCGCCAACGCCCGGCTATTCACCCATTTTCAATCCAACTTTCAACCCAGGATGTTCCCTCATAAAAGTGTGTTGGGATTAAAGGCGTATGCCACTGGGATTAAAGGCATATGCCGCTGGCAATCTCTTGGATTCCCCTACTTCCTGACCCTGGTATCAGGCTTAGGAGGGGGAAACTCAGAATGTCTAGTTTCTGACTTTTTAATCTCATTGGTGGCAGCTGCTCCCAATGTATTATTGGTGTTATAAAATTTGATGAACAGGGAGCTGGAGTGACTAACTGGCATCAACATGGGGGGGAATCCTCACCAACGCCCATATTTCCCTTACCTGAGTGTTCAGCAATGGTTGGATCATCTTTATCATGGTGAGCATTCCTAGTATCCGCAGTAGTATTGGGGTCGACATGCCTGATGCACCGTTCGGGGACCCAAATAGGCTTCTCACTTCCTGGAGGGAAAACACAAACAGCCCCTCGGACCCTAGCTAATAGGGGGGTGGGTGGCTGCCATTTTCCTGTAATCAAATCCTTCCATCTGACCCATTCCATGGACTGGGAGGGTTTGTTCCAATGTCTCTCCATAGCAGACAAATTATTACGGTCTATGGTCAAAAAATTTAAAATGTAAAGTATGGTGGATAACTGAATATTGGGGGAGGTAACATACTCCCCCTTTTTTATTTTCTTAAAATACTGTTTGAGAGTGGCATGGGTGCGCTCCACAATAGCCTGTCCCGTGGGGTTGTGAGGAATACCAAAAGAATGGACAATGTGATGTTCCCTGCAAAAGGCAGCAGCATACCTTAAGTGAAAATAAAAGTGTAAGAGACCATAGAGTGTGTCACTGTTGGTGGAGTAAGGGTCCAGGGACACTGTAGCACGCACATTCATGCCTTTGGAATACTGAAGCGTATGCGTGCTTTGAATGCTAAAAAGGGAAGTAAGTCAAGTGTTTCCTTCACTCCTTGCAGGCAGGCTGTAGTGCCACCAGGCTACCCGGTGATGGACAGATGAGTACGGAAGATGCCTCCCTGCAGGAGCCACCCTCATACCCCCCCATTCAGGTCATCCAGGCCAGAGTGTCTTCCGGCAGCTCCTCTGAGGTCTCCTCCATCAACTCCGACCTGGAGGTACAGGGCCGGTGGGTGGGCACATGGGCGTGTCGCCTCCCAACACTTGCTGGGGTCTCCTTGAAATTGACCTGCTTTCTAACCTCGCCTTATTAACCTCAAAACTGCTAATCATGAATGACGCTCTGCATGGCTCCCGCGGCCTGTGGAGAAGCTTTCAAACTGGGACTCCAGCAATGCCATGGTTGGGTTGATCAAGGAAATACTGAATGCTGGGGTCCATTTCCTATAGACTGCTTGCATATTCAGATCCTTCCTACATACAAGAGTAATAAATCTCTTAAAAGCCTCCATGATGTGGTTTAGGATTGATGGCTTAGGCTGGTTCCAAACAAAGCAATAAATTAAATATATATAAATTCTTAGAGTCCAAACTAAGCAAGTGGCTCTGGCTGGGTCTGCCCACATTAAAAGATAAATTTGTAAGCTGCATGGTGGTGGCGCACGCCTTTAATCCCCGTACTCAGAAAGCTGAGGCGGGTGGACCTCTGTGAGTTTAAGGCCAGCCTGGTCTACGAGAGCGAGTTCCAGGACAGCCCGGGCTAAACCGTGTCTCTCGAAAAAGTAAACAAAGCACTCATCCTTTCTATTTCTGTATTGTTTTGTTTACTGCTGGGGACTGAACCCAAAGTCTTGCCAGCCTACAAGAGCACTCTACTGTGGAGCCGTATGAGACCTATGTCTTTTAAAGATTCATACAGTATCTGTGGCTATGCTGAGCAATAATGGTTCCCATAGGTTCATATAAGAATGCTTGGTTCCGCCGGGCGTTGGTGGCGCACGCCTTTAATCCCAGCACTTGGGAGGCAGAGGCAGGCGGATCTCTGTGAGTTCGAGACCAGCCTGGTCTACAGAGCTAGTTCCAGGACAGCCTCCAAAGCCACAGAGAAACCCTGTCTCGAAAAAAAAAAAAAAAAAAAAAAAAAAAAAAAGAATGCTTGGTTCCCTGCTGGTAGCACGGGTTAGGAAGGGTTAAGGAGGAGATGTGGCCCTGGGGATGGGCTTGTGTCTCCCTCTGCCTCATGCTTATGCCTCAAGATGTGGGCGCTCAGCTCTGCCCAGCACCGTGCCAGCCTGCCTGTTCCGTGAGACGTCATGCAATACACATGCGGGGCCAGAAAGCTTGGAAAGCATGAAGAGAGTAAAGAAAATCCAAATCAAGCTCCTGGCTCACTAACCAATGGTCACCTCCTCTTCTGTTGGTTTGGGGGGCCATGTTCCTTGAAGGTTTGTTTGCTACCGAGTGAGATCAGGAAGGTGTCTGTTAGCAGATGACGTAACCGTATACCTCACTTGGGCATCTGGTCAGTCATCCCACAAACATTTTCTGAGCGTGGGCATTTGAAGGAAAAATACAGGAGGACAGAGGGACTGGTCTGGACCTGCCCACAGGCAGGCAGCCCCAGCGCCTCGTGGCCACAGTGACTCAGATCTTCTGCAAACACCTTCAGATGGGAGCGTGGGGTTAGAGTCAGGACTCCCTCTCTCATCCCGAAGCTGGCACCATTCACATACTTGATGGCGTCCAACTCGTACATCCAGGGCATGTCTCCTCCCCCTTGAGGTGCCTCTGCCCTGTCCTGCCCCTCCTCTCTGAATGCTACTGAGTGAGTGCCCTTCCCCCATCTCCCTGGCTTGAATCTGTCACTGACCACATGGGCTTCTGTTGGATCCCATTTAATGCAATCTAGGAGGGATGTACCTATTCCGTCTCTCTCTGGCCAATCTGAAAATGTGGACCCTACCAAGTCGAGTACCATCTTATGTCCCTGGTCGTGGGGACAGTCACTTCTCCACAAATATAGGAGGAAGAAGTTGGACAGATGGCCTCTTGGTTTGAGAAGCACGAGAAAGCATGTTTTAGGAAGTTTGTGAAGTGAAACACGGTGTACTTTGGTTCACTGACTCATGGGCCTGAAAATAGCTCAAGAATGCATGGAGTCAGGTATGGTGGCCACGCCTGGAGGTCCAGTCCTTGGGAGATGGAGGCTGGCTTGAGTGACGTGTCAAGACCCTATCTCAAATGAGAAAGACTGTGGACATGTTAGTGTGTGCAAAAGGGAAAAAGGATTGGCACGATTTGGTCTTTGTTTGTTTGTTTGTTATTGCTGTTTTTCGAGATAGGGTTTCTCTGTGTAGCTTAGCTTTGGAGCCTGTCCTGACACTCATTCTGTAGACCAGGCTGGCCTCGAATTCACAGAAATCTTCCTGCTTCTGCCTCCCCAGTGCTGGGATTAAAGGAGTGTGACACCAAAGTACGGGCACAATTTGATCTTATTTCAGTGTACATAATATATGCATATGGTATCATTATACATACAGCATGACTGTGATAATTGTTTCCAGAAGGTTGTTCTGTAAATGTTGAGAGGGAAAATCTCCCACGGATAAAATATAGAACATGTGTATATATGTGTGTACTTTTAAGTATGTATTTTTATTTTATGTGTTTGAATGTTTTCCTGTATATGTATGTATACCATGTGCATGCAGTGCCTGAAGAGGCCAGTAGAGGGCACTGTGTCCCCCAGAATTGGCGTGAACCACCATGTTGATGCTGGGAGTCATACCTAGGTCTTCTAGAAAAGAAGTTAATGCTTTTAACTGCTGAGCCATCTCTTATTCTGGGGTGTGTATGTATTTTGGGGAGTCTTTTTTAAAGAGTCTTATGTAGCCTAGGCTAGCTTCAAACTAATATGTAGCCAAGGATCGCCTTGAGGACTTCTGATTCTCCTGCTTCCTCTCCCCAGTGCCAGTTGGGGTGTTTTGTTTTTTTTAATGTTTTCGGTGAGACATTTTTAAAGTTTTTCTGTTTTTTTTGTTGTTATTTTTGAAATAGGGAAAGAACTAAAACATTTTATTTATTGTTAGTCTTTTGGAAGTAGAAATTTCTGTTACAAAGGTTTGAGTTAACTGGGCTTAAAATGTTGTCATCATTGACTCAAAAATGATAACTTAAAACGGGTGTGGTGGTGGTGCATGTTTGTAATCCCGGCACTACAAGCGGAGGCAGGAGGCGTGCGGGTTTGAGGTTAGTTTGATCTACATGTAGAGTCTGTCTTTTAAAAAAAAAAAAAAAAAAGAATTAAATAACAACAAAAATTCCCACCTACTTCCAGCAGAGGGCGCTCTCCTCAAATCTCATACTCTCCCTGGTGGTGGCCGCTTAGAATGACTGTCAAGGTTTCCGTTCCACCCAGCTGGGAGACTCAAGCCTACTTACTTGAGTTTTCTTGGCTTTAAATGAAATTTAAATTTAAATGGGAATAATTTTGGATGTACAGAATTTTTTTCAAAATTAGTACAAATTTCCCATTTGCCCTTTTCCGCCCAGCTGCCTCTGTTCGCATCTTACGTAACGAGCTACATTTAGCAAAAGCTCAGAAATGAACCCAGTACATTTCTACAGCTGGACTCCAGGCTCTGTTTGGATCTCAGCAGTTTCCCACCGGCTGGATTCGGCCCAGGACAGCACACTGCACTCTGAAACGATTCTTAAAGAACCGGGTGCACCAACTGGAACACCGCAAATTGCCATTTACATTCTGTGGGGATGTCTGTATATTTCTAAGGAAAAGCAAAGGGCTTCTGAGTTTAACTTCCCTTCTTCTTCCCACCACACTCTAAAGTTGTGGAGCTTTCTCAGGCCCTGCCTTCTATCAGTTTAGTAGCTCATACCTCTTCTGATGAAGTTTTCCACTTACATTTCCCCCAGAAGAATGCCATTAAAAAGTGGATGGGGCCGAGTGCCCTCATCCCAGAAGCCCCTGCCAACTGGCTGCAGCCTATCTGTGCTATCCATTTGCTTCCAAATGTTTCCTCTCCACTTAGAAGAGAGAAAAACAAAACAATAAACAGGAGAACGCTGGCAGAGAGGGGCAGGGAAGGCTAGGACAGGACAAATACTAGCAACAATGTTATATATGTAGTCCAACTTAAAAAGGAAGGTGCATGCTAGCCAGCCGTAGTGGTACATGGCTGTAATGCCAGCACTGGGGAGGCTGAGGCAGGAGGATGACATGTTTCACACCAGCCTCTCTGATACACACTGACAGCCTGTTACACAAAATTGATTAATTGATTGAAAAATAAAAAGAGGAATGGCGGCTGGGGTGCAGTTCTGCAGTTCTGGTAGAATTAATGCTTAGGCCAGGTTTGGAGTATCACACCTAAAACCCCAGCTCTTAAAACGGCCACATGTTCAAGGCCAGCCTGAGCTACAATCGGAGACCTTATCTCAAAAAAAGGAAGGAGGGGCTGGAGAGATGGCTCAGAGGTTAAGAGCACTGACTGCTCTTCCAGAGGTCCTGAGTTCAATTCCCAGCAACCACATGGTGGCTCACAACCATCTACAATTCAATCTGGTGTATATGTAATAAATAAATAAATCTTTAAAAACAAAAAAGGAAGGAGGGAAGGAAGGAAGGAAGGAAGGAAGGAAGGAAGGAAGGAAGGAAGGAAGGAAATTCAGGCTTAGCATTCATGAGGCCCTGGGTTTCAGGATAAGCGCCCCCTCCATGCAAAACAAGATGACCATTAAGGACTCTGCACAGAGGTTAGCTGGGGCTACACGGAGATTACATTACAATTAGAATTTACCTATGGAAGCATTCTAAGTTATTTGCCAAAAAAAAAATTATTTACTTTAAAATACCAAACTAGAAGATAGAGGAGCAGGCTGTCTCGCTGGCCTTCATTATCCCCTTGCTTTTGCATATGACTAAAAACCCTATCATTAAAGCTTTTAACATTGAAAGCGCTGAACAAGCTAGGCAAGTCATCACTTGCTGGTAGTCCAGCATTTGGAAGGTGAAGGGAGGAGGATCGAGGCCAGCCTCAGCTATGCAGGGGACCCAGTCTCAAAAACAAATACACAGAAGACTTGAGCAGTAGAAGTTTTGTTTTCATGCGCCAATAACCTTACATCCAGTGGCTGCTAGGTTGCTTAATAGACATCCACGGATAGGCTATCAGCACAGATTCCTAGCTCTTGTGTCAGAAACTCAAGTCTCCCGGGCAGCGAACGGAGAGCTGGAGGAATAAGTAGACCGTCTGCACTTCTCCAGCATCTAGGGGCAGGCGTGCTTGAGGCTTGGAGTGGAACCAACCATGCAGTAAACCATGTCAGCTGCTTGGCAAACCCCACAGGTGGAGATTTTATTTGCACCTCTTTCTTAGTTTTATGAGTTTTCATTGGATCATCTCAGCTATGTGGTTAATAAATAGAAGATTTACTGTTATATTATCACTATTATTAGAACTACTACTACCACCCATAATTTCTAATTATAGTTATTGTGAAGTGTCTGAGAGTCATTTCTCCCAGGACCCTGCTCTGGATAACATGGTTGGTTCACTTTATTTTATTTTATTTTGATCATTTAACTAACTTACTAAATTAATTATGCTGCTAATAGTGACTGCCTTCCTGCTTGCTGGAATGTGAAGTTGACCTCCAACCACACCCCACCCAGCCATCCAAGTCTTTGACTCCTGGCTCACTGAGCACAGGGACTGACTCTGGGCTCTCCTCTGTGGCCCGGGACGAGATCTGTTCAACACTCTCTATCTCTCTTTTTTATCCTACAGCAGAAGTATTGGGAAGCCCTAAACTCGGAGCAGGTATGGACAAGTGTTTGGTCTCTTTCGGGAGGGACTTCTATGGCTTGATTTTCCATGTCTGTTTTTATTTGACCCCTCTTTGATGGAGGACAAGGCAGTTTTTCTGGTTAAAGGAAAAGAATATGAGCTAGAGATGAGGTTCAGTGGAGAGATTGCCCAGCACTGCAGAGCAGACACAAGACACAAGAAAGGTCGGGGGGCAAGTGTGGGCACATTTGGGTGCTCTGTTCCCAGGTCTTTTCTGCACTGGGAAGTATTCGGAACCAATTGGCTCACCTTGGAAAGAACTCAGTGTAACCCAGTGAAGAAGCGCAGTTTGTCGCCGTCTGTGAGCCCCGGAGTAGCTGCGGGTCACCAGGGGTATGTGGGGTGTGGCTGCTGCAGTTATGAGGAACTGCCTCACACGTTGGCTGTGTCTTTCTGAGACCTCATGCAGCTGGCAGTCTATAACAGATAAGCATATTTTGTGACAGTTACCTGTGCTTGTCACCGCCCAGGATTGTTGTGACACAAGAATACATCGTCTCTCACACAAATTAGTTTTATAATTTCTTTCTCCGTTCCTTCCTTCCCTCCTTCCTTTCTTTCTTTCTTTCTTTCTTTCTTTCTTTCTTTCTTTCTTTCTTCCTTCCTTCCTTCCTTCCTTTCTTTCTTTCTTTCTTTCTTTCTTTCTTTCTTCCTGTGTGTGTGTGTTTTGTTTTGAGACAGGACTTCTCTGTGTAGTCCTGGCAGTCCTGGAACTCACTCTGTAGGCCAAGCTGGCTTATAACTCACAGAAATCCACCTGCATCTGCCTTCTGAATGCTGAGATTAAAGATGTGCACCATTACCACAGGTTTTATGCCTTCTCTCTAATTATGTTTTTTATTGCTCAGAGAATCTTAGAACATTATCTTATAGATCTCAGCACACTGTCCTATAGATCTCAGCACACTGTCCTATAGATCTCAGCACACTGTCCTATAGATCTCAGCACACTGTCCTATAGATCTCAGCACACTGTCCTATAGATCTCAGCACACTGTCCTATAGATCTCAGCACACTGTCCTATAGATCTCAGTACATTGTCCTATAGATCTCAGCACACTGTCCTATAGATCTCAGTACATTATCCTGTAGATTCTGAAAACAGAAACTTTGTATGCCTTCTAAGATGCAATCTAAAGGGTTCACCTGCTCAAAGTGCCAGACTGTTCCTGTTCACGGGCAGTTGACTCTGTCAGGGTTAGCAAGAATAACTTACAAAGTGTTCAAGGAGTTGGAGCAGTGGCTTTCAAACATCAGAGCATCTAAGAAGTACTGTGTGACTCGTTAAGATGTCAAACTGTGGGGCTGGAGAGATTGCTCAGTGGTTAAGAGCACTGACTGCTCTTCCAAAGGATCTGGATTCAATTCCCAGCACCCATATGGCATCTCACACTGCCTGTAACTCCACGATCTAACACCTTCACACAAACATACATGCAGGCAAAACACCAATGCACATAAAAATACATACGTTTTTAAAAATTAAAAAAAAGATGCCAAACCATGTGTCTCACCCCACCCGCAGTGGCTGCAGAGCCCCCAGCGTCAGCCCAGTGACTACTGGCTCGTGCTTCCCACATTGTTAGCCCAGGGCATGTTCTGAGATATCTGATCTAGGACCTGGGTCTGTGCTTGTCTACAGTATTCATCAGAAGCGCCCAGGGGCCTTAGAGGACAGAACAGGCCCCTGCTCCTGCTACTGAGCACATGACTCTGAGACTAAGGGCCACTGAGTTATTTTATGTAGACTCTTTCATGTCTGGAAAGAATTTGGTTAAAGGTGCCAAGTTTGCAGCCACAACTACACAAAAAGTTTGCACAACCCCAGACAGGTACAGAAGACTGGTCTGTATAAACCAAGTTACCTTAGTACCAGGTCTGCAGGGTCACTGGGCTGCAGTGATCCTTTTAACATGGTGCGTGCGTGTGTGCGTGCGTGTGTGTGTGTGTGTGTGTGTGTGTGTGTGTGTGTGTGTGTGTGTGTGTGTAGGGTGGTACAGAATGTCTTGCACTCATGGAGGCCAAAGGAGAGCATCCTCATTTATTACTCTCTACCTCATAGAGGTGGAAAAGGTCTTTGAATAAGTGGGTAGGGTCTCTCTGTAAACCTAAACCTTGTCATTTTCGGCTATACTTGCAGGCAGCAAGCCCCAGCAATCCTCCTGTCTCTACCCCTCACATCACTGGGGTTACCGGGTTCCAAACTCAGGTCCTTGTGGTTGTGCAAAAAGCACTTTTAACCACTGAGCCATCTCTCAGCCCATTGTGGGGTCTTTAATAGCCAAATAGAACTTGGTTCTGTTGTGTGGGTGAATCATTAATTGAATTATGTTCTTTATTCAAAACAGAGCAGAAATTAGTGTTTTAGAGCTGATATGCTCTGGGCACTAGATGAAAGCCTTGACGGTTTTATGTGGGACTTCTCAGAACTGAGCTGTGACACGGGTGATGATAAAGTATCTTTCTCTGAGTGCATGTGTGTGTTTGGTTCTATGATCCTGCCCTAATAGATCTTTCAGCCCAAGCTGACCTAGCTCTCATGATCATTGCTTGTTTCTATGTTTTTGTCATTGTTTTGTTGTTTGTTTGTTTGGTTTGGTTTGTTGTTTTGGTTTATTTGTTTAGTATTTTGGTTTTTGTTTGGTAATGGTTTTGGTTTTTCAAGGCAGGGTTTCTCTGTGTAGCCCTGGCTGTCCTGGAACTCACTCTGTAGACCAGGCTGGCCTCGAACTCACTGAGATCTATCTGCCTCTATCTCCTGAGTGCTGGGATTAAAGGTGTGAGCCACCACCGCTTGGCTTTGTTTTGTATTTTTGTGACAGGCTTTCACTGTATATTCCCGATTGTCTTGTAACTCTCCACATAGATGTCTATGTAGGCTGCCTCTGCCATGCTGGACTAAAAGGAGTGTGCCACCATGCCCAGTGATATAGTTCTCCATCTTCAACCATGGCTCTTTAAAGAGTATTTTGCAGACAGCTCCATCTACACTTACAGGCCTATTTCTTTTTTTTTTTTTTTTTTTTTTTTTTTTTTGGTTTTTCGAGACAGGGTTTCTCTGTGGCTTTGGAGGCTGTCCTGGAACTTGCTCTGTAGACCAGGCTGGCCTCGAACTCACAGAGATCCGCCTGCCTCTGCCTCCCGAGTGCTGGGATTAAAGGCGTGCACCACCAAACGCCCGGCACAGGCCTATTTCTAATCCCTCCTCTCAAGCCTTTTCCAATTTCAAGTTGCCATTCTTATTGGTGTTGGTGATGGCAGTAGCCACCATCCTGAACTGGCTTTTTTAAATTGTGTGTGTGAGAGAGACAGCTCACATGTGGAGATCAGAGACCAACATACAGGAATGAGTTCTCTCCCTCCTTCTTGTGGGTCTTGGGATCAAACCCACACTTCTGGACTTGGCAGCAATCACCTTTCACCCACTGTTTTAGTTTTATGTGTATGGAAACATTTTTGCCTGCGTGTGTGCCTGTGTATTACATCCCGAATTGCCAAAGGATCCAGAAAAGGGATAAGATCCTCTATAATTAGAATTACAGATGGTTGTGAGTTGCCATGTAGGGGCTAGGAACCAAACCCGGGTCTCTTACCCTGAGCCGTCTCATTGGCCCTGAGCTGGCCTCTAAGAGTTCACTTTAGGCATGTCCACTGAACCTGGAGCTGAGAGGACAGACTATGAGGGGTCAAAGATCCACTGTACCTGCTCCTTAGGAACTTGCGTGCCAGGAGGGCCAGGTAGATGTCCAAGGAGAGACCAGAGCTGTCGTGTGCCGATACAAACGAGTGGTGGGGGCAATACCACGTGAGCTGCTGGACTAAAGCTCCTGAGAATCACACCAGAGACGCTGCCTAGGGCAGGAAAGAGGACTGAGTTCATCTGCTCTTTTCTACCAGCATTACACATCAAGATTCCAGGGCACGGCTTGGCGAGGGAAGGATTGGAGGAGACGGAAGGGGAGGCGGGCCTAGTCTTCTCAGATAGCTACTCTCTCATTCTGTGAAGTAAAGCCACACTGTGTGGGGATGCTGATGCCAGTGTGGGGACAGGAACTATAACTCAGTGGTAGAACACTGGCCTAGCATGCTCGAGGCCTGGGTTCCATTCCCAACACCACCAAAGGTGATAAAGCTATATTCTCTCGAGATCTAGAACACATGTGCTTGTGCTTACTGACTTTCCCTGTCTTTGCTTGGTCACGAGACCCAGGACTGGGCTGTCTTCTGGGGGTGGCTGGGCTGAATTGTTGGAAAGGATCTGTCACACCAAGATATCTTTTCTGTCTTTTTCCACAGTGGGACCCCGAAGATGTCAACTTGGAAAGGAACAAGGACAGCGTGGAGCTCCTTAGATCACAGAAGCACAGGGGCTCTTTGAGCCCGGTGGACTTGACCTCTGACGACTGACATCATTAGGAGGCAGTTCCTCAGCTCAGAACTCAAGGTTAGGCATCTGCCAGTGACTAGATGGGGACCAACCTACAGTGCCTCCCACAGCAGAAATGGAAGCTGCTGCAGACGCTTCCCAAGTAAGGAACGTGGAACAGTCACTTAGCTTGGCTAGTCTACCCCATGACTCAGAATGGAGCTAAGGCACATGCCAAGTTTCCTCTGGTGATGAGAAATTTACACATGAATCCTGTTGGTAAGCTTACTCCCAAACGACATGGGATCTATTGCCATGAGATTCCAGCAGAAATATTGTTTGCTAAATAACAGGATCGAACTCACCAAGAGTGAGTTCCAAGATTTGGATCTCAACACAATGCATTCTTCGAGAATCAGCTAAGGCCAGATGAAGGAGTGGGCCCACCAGCGAGGGGACCTGGGCACACACACAGGAACTGGCCTCTGCTGTCCAGTCGTTAGCATAGCTGCCACACGTTACATGGGACTGCCTGGTCACCCAAATATTTGGAGGATCACTGTCAGGGCAAGGGCTACCTGATCTTGGTGACAGGGTTCCCTCCAGCTTGGCAGAGTCTGTGCTGGGGCTGGGTTTGCACGTTATGGGGGCCTTCTGTGCATTAGGGGTAACTGCAGGCATGCAGTTTCAAGTATGGCTGTTTGAGGGTGATTTTGATACTGTGGCCGTGAGTGAGGGGAAGAATGAAGGGAATGGGCAGGAGCAAACCTGCGTGAATAAATTTTGGTTGAGTGGATTAAAATATCTCATAGGGAGTACAGGAATAAGTCTGAATCCAGTACAGAAGTCCGCCACCAGGGGAACTGGGAGAAATGCCAAGAGGCACAGCTCTGCTCCCAGCTGGCCCGTGACCACCTATGACTCAGCTGCGGCTGCCCAGTGTCTCCTGAGAGGCGGTGCAAGTGCCAACAGTGGGAAGCATGGGGCGCCGGTGGGGGCCGGTTGGTTGTGCAGGTCTCTGCATAGTGCCTGGTTCCCTGGTGACCTCTACACTAGAATTCAAAGCCACTTTATCTGCTTTGAGGTTTTAGTTCTCTTGTGAGGGAGCTTGCTGGAGTTTGCTTTGCTCACTGAAACCACTTTGAGGAAAGAGGACCACGGGGCATGGGGTGACGTGGAGCATTCCAGCCCAGAGCATAGCAAACTAGAGGCAGGGGAGGCCGGGATCCAGCCAAGGAAGGAGAAACCTGACTGGAGCCACGTGGTTTTGAAAGGAGAGAGCTGGAAAAAAACCAGGCTATGGAGACTAGGGAGTTAGTACTGAATGCTGTAGCCACGCAAGACACCAAAACAGAAAGGTTTTGCTCAAGTAGGCTACAGTTAGTGTCTCTTAACCGCTGAGCCACCTCTCCAGCCCTAATTAGTATGTTTCTTATCCCACACTTTTCATGAAGCAGAAGTGTAGTCATGGGTACAGAGTAAACATGAGACACATGCTTAGAGTATATTCCTTTATTAAAAAACAGAAAAATCAGAGACTGTAAGAAGCCAAGATAGCCTCAAAATCATGACCCTCCTACCCCAGTTTTCCAAGTGCTGGGATTACAGGCAGAGCCACCATGCCGTCTTGCACTTTTTAAATAAGGAAACATGCCCAAAACAGTAACCAAAGCATCAGTCCCACAAGCAGAAGTGACCATAGTAATGACAGTGCAGGCCCCGCTTAAACTCCTAGAGCCACAGTATGCTATCTGCCCTGAAATCTGTCTGATTTAGGGGGTGCTCTGATTACTAAATTCTCTTAACAGCTTGCCTGGAGGGCCGTGGCTCAGGTGAGTGAATGCCTTCCTAACATGCGCGGGGCCCTGGCTTGTCTCTAGTACAGCATGAAGGAAGTATAATGAATGATACACACCTGGAATTGGGAGGTGGAAGCAGCAGGATTAGAAATTCAAGGTCACCGGTCTTTAGCTACACAGCAAAGGTTAGTGTGGGACATAGGACACCTTGTCTCTAGAGAGGAAAACAAAATAGTATAGATCTCGAAGAACCAATCACGTTAAAGCCATCCAGGGGTCACTCCAGAATGAGGTTTGTGCGCACAAGGACCATCTGATGATGTGTGCATTTCTGTTTCCATGAGAAATGAGTTACTATTCTAAGGAGGCTCTGGGCCCAAGAGCCTATTCCCAGGGTCAGTCTCCTAGTCCCAGGTCTGAGGCAGTATGCTGTCATTCCTCTTCCTGGATCAGTTTCCCCATCTGCAGCATGAAAGACCAAGCGTAGGGACTCACACTTGTTAGTCCCACACTTGGGAAGCTGGGACAGGAAGATTTCCACAAGTTCAAGGTCAGCTTAGCTATCAAGACCCTGTTTTAGGGAGGCAGAGGCAGCGGATCTCTGTGAGTTCAAAACCAGTCTGGTCTACAAGAGCTAGTTCTGGGACAGCCTCCTCCAAAGCCACAGAGAAACCCTGTCTTGAAAAAAACAAAACAAAACAAAAAACAAAACAAAACAAACAAACAAACCAACAACAACAAAAGCCGGGCATTGGTGGCCCAGGCCTTTAATCCTAGCACCAAGGAGGCAGAGGCAGGTGGATCTCTGTGAGTTCGAGGCCAGCTTGGTCTAGACATTAGAGTTCCAGGACAACCAAGGCAACAAAACAAAAAAACCAACCACCACTGACCTGGCGATACAAGTACAGCTTGCCTAGCATGCTTGGGCCCATCCCCAGCATGAATAGAAGTTTTTCTTCCTTTTTTCTTTCATGAATATGCCAGTCAGCATTTCACATGTAAGACTGACGTCTTTGCAAACACTCAGAGATGTTATATGAAGGGAGGTTTCATATACACCTTGAAAATAGCTATCATTACATCATAGGATAGACTTCTGTTTCAATTTAGTGTGTGTGTGTGTGTGTGTGTGTGTGTGGGTGTGTGTGTGTTGCACCTGTGCCAAGGAGCATGCATGGAGGCCAGAGTGACCACCTGCAGGTGTCAGTTCTCTCTTTCCATCATGTGGGTTCTGGGACTTGAATCAGGTTTCAGTTTTAGCAGCAAACAGCTTCATCAGCTAAATCCCACCCACACCCGCTTAAATTTCACTACCCATTTAAGAGAAATACTAGGGTTAAGATGTACTGAGTGGTATAGAAAACGCTTGGCATGAGCAAGACCCTGGGTTCAAGTTCTAGCATCAAAACCTTCACATTACTTCCAGAGTTCTCTGCACATTTCCCTCCTGATCCTTGACGGTTTGCCATTTGGGCAGACTGTAGGCATTTTGGTCGGATCCGGTGGGACAGGTATTCTGGCACTCGGGAGCCACCGAATACTGAATGTTACAGAGCTCAGATGGAAAGGTATCCTGGAACTCGGGAGCCAAGGACTACTTCAGGTTGCAGTAAGCTTAGCTGCTTACAGCCTTGCCTCAGGGAAAGGCTTCCCAGTGTATCTGCTCTGCTCGGGCAAGAGAGGGTCTTCCAGCTTGGGATGTTTGCCCAGTGTAGCAGTTTTGCTCCAACAGGAGGTTTCCCGGGCCAAGTTGCTACAGTTCAGCTCAACTCGACTCTGCCAAGGGAAAGTTTCCTGGGTAGAAGTGTTACAGCCCTGCTTGCTTTGCTCTGCCCAGGGTGGTCTCTGCTCTGTTGCAAAAGAAGGTCTTCACCCAAAGCTCATCCAAGGGGTTTATTGGGAGGGAAGGATCCAGGAGAGCAGGGTTTATATAGGGCTTCCAGGGTAGGGATTGGTCAGATTTCAATGCTGAGCTCCTGCCCAAGAATTGGTTAGTTTTCTACACAGGATTAGGGTCAGATTTGGCTCTGGTTTTAGGGCCAAAGTGTGTTTCTCTGGTCCTTTTTAGTTTGTTGGCTTCAATTTTAGGGCCAGGGTGTATTTCTTTCACTGACTCTGATTCCAGGGACAAAGTGTGGTTTTTTGGCACTGGTTTCAGGGTCAGGGTACATTTCTTTGGTTCTGGTTGCAGGGCCAAAGTGTTTCTTTGGCTGGTGTCTTTTCCCTACACAGACACTGATCTATACTCTCTCATTCATCTTTTCTGAAGTCCAAAAGCATGGGCAGAGGGGACTCTGCTTCAAAAAGACAAAACAACCAAACAAACCAACAAAAAACCCAGGTATACTGTAGTGTTCCAGAGCTCCTTAATTTCTGACAAGCACAAGACCAATGATACAGAGCGCCTAATGGCAGGGACTGGTGACACTGGCCTGTAATCCCAATTATTCCAAGCCAGGGCAGGAGGGTGGCAAGATCGTCAAGCTCAAGGCTAGCCTGGGTAATTTTGCAAAACCCAGTCTCCAAGATGAAAAAAATTTTTTTTAAATTAAACAAGCTGGAGCTCAGAGGCAAAGCGCGTGCTTAACACGCGCTATGGCTCAATGCCTAAGAACATTTAATCAGCTAATGCCTAAGTCTGGAGTCGAACACGGTACTGGACACTTGAAGCGGCTGTTTCCGAGCAGGGTAGTTAAACTTGTGGGTCCCTGCTCCCGTCGCTCGGGAACCCTGCCGGCGGCTGCCAGTGTTGGAGGTGGAGGCCGGGGCGTTTCTTAGTATCCCCCGGAGTCTACACGGCTCACCCTCGACGGCCCTGGCGCAAGAAGTGTCCTCTGGCAGCCGGACCGCACAGAGCAGAACTGAATCGGGATAACTGCACTGTGGGGCACTTCCTGGAAGAAAGGAAACGCAGTTCTTGCGCATGCGCACCCTGCTGCCACCGCCTCTGCGAGCAACGCAGACTCCGCCCAGTGGGCTCCTGTCCTTTGCTAGGGCGTCAGTGGTTTAAAAGTCTGTCCCCACTGAGTTTTTAAAAGATAGTTACCAGACCGTTCTGTCGTGCATTTGTGACTGTCCAACAGCCTGAAACTGCAAACCATTCTACCTAAGTACATTCAACTTTTTAAAACACAAAAGCGCAGGTGCATGATTTAACAAAAGCAGATCCTGCCAAAGTTTATTAGGAAAACAACAGCTCTGATCACAAGTCTCCAACAGCTCCACTTTCATCTTCCGCTGGGTGTTTTGTTTTGCTGCCAGAAACAAGACACTCGTGTCTTTGCACAATGTCAGAGTTGATTGCATAACAGTAAATTCAAAAGTCTAGATTTCCCTTGGTAGCGGACAGCTAACAAAACACAAGTTCTTTTATTTTGATCTTAATTGTTAATACTAACTCTCAGAGCACGCACTGCACATCACCATGTAATTGTACATCTATTGTATGAATGGGATACAGAATAGCTACAGAAATGTTAAAGGGGCGGCAGAGTCAGGGGATTGCTGGAGGCAGATGCAGAGAGCTGCTGCCTATGCAGATTACAGCAGGTGGTAGACAGAAACCAACAAGCACAGTCTGAACATTGTGCTAAAGGCAGAGAGCCAAGCCACAGGATCACGATGGACCAGCCTAACTGCAGAGGATCAGGACTATGGAGGCGAGGGTAGGACCGGATTTGGGCAGATGGACAGACTATGCAACTCCGGTAGTGGAGGCTGAGCTAAACTGAAACCCTGGGGACAGTAGAAAAGTGGGTGGGGTCATTAGTATTGCTCTGTTAGGTGTCCTTTCTATGTGGTCTAGGCGATGGTTTAGTTGATCTAGTGAGTTTGATAAGTTATTGGGTCTGGTTTTACCGATAAGGGTTTAATTACACCCGTGTGCTCTTCCGTTCCTAATGTACTTTGAAAAAATGTATGTGATACATTTTTACTTTTGGGCATATGCTCTTGGTAAGTCTGTCCCTCATGGGTGTTGCTGGACTCATGACAGTAT